GAACTCGGCGCTCGCAAGGGTCAGGGGGTCTTTGCTGAGCTTCTCCTTTTTATACAACAGCCCTCTCTTACATCCGAGCCTTTTAAAACGCGTAGCAAAAACGGGACACCACCAGCTTCAGACCTTCAGTGTGCTGACCGACGCCATCCCAAGGGTTTGGGGAAAAAACCAACTGTATTATCTTGTTTTTAAGCAGAGAACTGCAGCCGTGCTGCCTTACGTGCAAAAGCAGAGGAGCTGCTGGCGAAGAGAACGGCAGGTGGAGATCCTCTGGCGCGTTTTCTGAGAGGACAGCTGTACTATGAAGAGGTTGTGGTTTCCTTCTTTTAAGTAAATACTATAAAGCTGACAATTTTCAATACCATTTCAGTGGGGACAAAAAAAAGATACCTTAAAAAAAACAAGAAGAGATGCCTATGCCTGTTTTTTTCCTCATGAAAATCACAGGTGTTCCCCCTAAATACGTTTTTTCCTACACTTTCCTCAAGCATCTAGTGGTGTCTTCCATTTCTCCCCCAGGTCTCCTCAGGAGCAGGTAAGCAAGCGGCAGGCTGTCCCTACAGCTCACTTCCAAGCTGAGATGTTTTTGACTGGCCAAACGCCACACACGGTGTTTTCAGTTACGTGGCACCGGTCCCTGATGCAAGACACAGCTTTCGATCTGTGTTCCCTACCTAGCCACCAGTTTTGATGAGACATGTTGAAGCACATTACCTTTGAGATTTCTGTCCCTGTCCACTTCGGCTAAAATGGTAGATGCTTAGGAAACAGCATTAAGACTGTCTGGCAGGTGAACTGAAACCTCAGTTTCCTGTGAAAATTAGAATAACTCAGTTCAGGAAGATGGAAAAGAACATCATACAGGTACTGATTCCTGTATTTTCAAATGTGACGTGCAAGGATTCTGTAGTGTTTATAGTGCAGCTAGTGCCACGGTAGCACTAAATCAGTCTCAGGGTTTGCAGCAGGAACAGAATTAACTCACTCAGGGTTTCTACTTTCTGGGTGCTGTCCCCCTTCATATTTTTGTTAATTAACTGCCTGAAGTTAGCATAATCAAGACTGACCCCATGGAGCAGAAGACCTGTTTCTTGATGAGCTGGCTTGCATGCCCATGCTACATATTGCTGCCTATCCCTAAATTTGTTCTTTCAGCAGGTCTCTAATTTCCAGATTTTTGGACGTATGCCTAAAACCCCATGTTCTCATAGTACTGCAGTTTCAGATGTTAGGAAAAAATCACCGAGTCCTAAGTCTCCTTCTTATAGCACTAAATTGTCAGGGAAGGTGAGCGTACGGGTGCCTCCCACGCTTTTTTTTCCTAACACTCATGACAGCTGCTTGTAAAAAGGCACTCGTATTTTCCACACCCACCCCCCACCCCGAGTTCTTTAGAAACACAAATCTCGCAGTCACACTGGCTAAGCTCCCAAGGCAAGGAGTAGTTCAGACAATTAATAGTTTGGACAGGATTAACAAGGAGCATTTTGTCACTGCTGAGCTCTAAGCTTTTACAGCCCAGAATTGTTTTATCAAAACACACAGAAAATCTGAAGAAGTATAGAAAAGAACATTCCCATTTCAACATTGCTTTTACTTAGTATGCTGATATGCATGCATAGAAATACTTGACTAAGGACACCAGGCTCAGTTAACTGGTGCATTACAGTTGTTCAACCGTGTATTTTTAAATACAGTTTCTTCTTTGACTTAATGCAGAAGAAAATGCTAAGATTCTTTCCTAGAAGTGAAAGTCTCTCTGCTGTTGTAGGCGATGCCTTCCTAAGAAATGTGGGGCAGACAGGTGGGTCTGTAAAGTCCTCAGACATCCGAGTTCAGTCTTTGTGAAACCAACCTTTAGTTGAGATGTAAAAGCAGACTCTTAAACCCTCGAGGTATAAGAATAGCTCACCTAAGGTAAGGGATGTCAGATAGGTAGGACAGGGCATCTGAATTAGACTCCCATCTCCTTAAATTGAACCGATGGCATTTTGGGGGAGGGGAAGAAAGGTTGTCAGAACATCTTTCGGTTTCAGAGATATGTTTGTATACCACTAATATTTAGGGTTGTGGGGTTTTTTTTATATATATAGCTAAAAAAACCCCAGCCCAACTTGTTTGAAAGCGTTCAGTGCTTCTACCCTGTCCAACTTCCTTGTGGTTTTTCACTTACTCTATTTCTGTTTTCTGCCACTTCTATGGTTGCAATTGCTTGTTCCTTGTTCATGAGGGAAACGGTCGTGGTTGCAAAACTGCAAGAGAATACATACTGGAGAGTCAAGCTGCCGCACGTACTCTTTGTTCTGTGCATTTCATTGTTTATTCTGTCTTTCCCAGGGGTTGTATGAAGAAGCATTAATACAATTTGAAGAAATCAAGGCTACGGATTTTCAAGCAATGTATCAGCTTGGTGTAATGCATTATGATGGACTGGGCACTAAAGAAGATCCTGTGAGTAACCTAGCTGTACACTTTTTACTTTTAATATTAGCTGATAACTACTAACAGCTTCTTTATAAGCTTGACTATTTAGTTTAAAATAAACAGGGCTTTGATTTAGAATTAGTTTAGTACAGATGTTTACAAACCATCATTAGAGGGCTGAAGAAGTTCTCAAAAATAGCCATAATAAAATATGTTTATCTCAAAAATACTTACAATAATCCTAACAGTGTAAATCTCGTTTCCAAAATACTTACGAGGTCCTGGGATGATACACCGTACAGCTGCTCATATGCAGTGTTCCCCCTTTGCTTATTTTAACATTATCGTTTTTCATCCATTATGAATCTAAGGTGTTTTTAATGGAGGAACTTCAGAGTGTGCTATTGTACCACTTTGCCTTCCGTTCAGGTTGGTTTATGATTTCAGATACATCATGCAATATGAAAAAGATTGCAGAAGTCTAAAATTGAAAATGTAGCAAGTTTAGGATGTGACATTCATTTATGTAAGCACAAGAATCTTTTTGAGAAAAGGTTTATCAAGGAAGAAGAGTAATAGAATATCAGATGAACATTTATAAGGAAATGTTCTACATCAAAAATATGCTGGTGTCAAAAATCTAGGGGCTGTCTAGTAACCAAAGACCAGTTCTGCTTTGGTTATGACACTGTTCTCCAGACTGTCCTACCAGCATGCCTCAGCCTTTCTTCAAAGTGGAAAAATTACCTGTCTTGCAGAAGTTAGTGGATTCTCAGGTTCCTTATGTCACTCTCTTCCCAGTCTGAATGTAATAATTAAAATACCTCAATTTTAGGAAAAGGGAGTGGAATACATGAAGAAAATACTTGACTCCGATTCCCCAAAAGCAAGGCACTTGAAGTTTGCAGCTGCATACAATCTTGGCAGAGCATATTATGAAGGATGTGGTGTTAAGCAGTCAACTAAAGAGGCTGAAAGGTAATGGCAGTCAGTTGTTTTCCTAACGAGTGTAAGATGCTAAGATGCTGTGTCACTTGAACTTTCTTTGTCCCCATTTTCTTAGGTTGTGGCTTATTGCTGCAGACCATGGGAACCCAAAAGCAAGCGTGAAGGCCCAGAGTACTTTAGGAATGCTTTATTCCGTGTCAGATCTAAAAGATCTGAAGAAGGTAAAGCCCACTTGTACCTTACGAGTTTCGTAAGTCCCAATTAATTCTTCATTTCACAGAAAGAGTACGGTGATGTATTTGACTCTGAAACAGTGGTTTAATTACTGCTAGGCATTATCATCCATTTAAGCCTGTATGAACAGATGGCCAGAATTCCTCATTTTGACTCACTGCTAGCCTGATTTTGTTTTATTGGGAGTATCAGGAAGAAGGATATAATGGATTAAAGTTTTGTCAGCCTTGGTACCCTTCAGAAATCAAGCAGGTGTCACCGATTGACAACTCTGACAGTAAATGAAATAGATTTAAAAGCCTTACAAGGATTCTGCTTGCTTTTATGTATAAGCACTTCTTATAGGCTGGTTAATGTAAAAGCTTTTATGGAAACAGTATGCAAGAAAAGCAGCTGAAGTGAATATATACTCCGACTTTGTGCCCCTTGTTTAGGCCTTTTTCTGGCATTCAGAAGCCTGTGGCAATGGAAATCTGGAATCACAGGGTGCACTTGGTGTTATGTATCTCTATGGACAAGGGATACGTCAAAACACTAAGGCTGCTTTGGAGTGTTTGCGAGAAGCAGCAGAACGTGGAAACATCTATGCTCAAGGCCACCTTGTGGAATATTACTACCACAGAAAATTTTACTCAACAGCTGCTGCAGTAGCCAAAAGGTGAAGTTAATTTCACTTTATTTTTTATTATAGTTCTTCATATAAGACCACGGAACTCAGATGAAAATGACTAAGTTCATGCTCTTGTCTCAGACTCAAGATGTTTGAGATCATGAATTGCAAGACCTCATCTTTAAAGAGGGAACAGCAAACCACTGACAGAATTAATACTATAAGCTTCTCAATTATTCAATACACTTGAACTTTTTTTTCTGATCCTGTGAAGCACAACAGCTAGAATCCCAAGTAGAAGCCCACGCTCAACCCTACCTTCCTGTCTCCTCCGTCCACAGTCTGCTCCAGGCTCCTGCCTTCACCGTTCCTTTTTAAACCCCTACACAAGTGCTCTCCCGCTCTCCACATCCCCCATCTTAATGTCATTTCTACCCACTGTCTTCCACCCCATCATTCCCCCTGCTCGGTGGCTCGATGTGATTCGGTCCAGTTCCTGCGTCCCTTACAGGGAACGCAAGCATTGGTACTGGGTGGGATCCTGCGGGACACGCTCCGAGCAGCACGGCCGGGGACCTAGAAGCAGCTGCTGCGCACAAGTTAGCGCCCTTTAGCTTTTCATTTGCTGCTTAGGGGGATGCATACCCCGTAGGCGTTTTTAAGCCAGACCACAAAATAGGTCTGCACACAAGTGGTTTCTGGCAATTATGTTTGCATAGAGGTAGTGGCCTGAGACACAGCTAGGCAGCACTCACCGGCCTTTTCACAGGCAGTCACTGCTGGACTCGCTGCTCTACCTACGCACCCTGGAATGGTTTGCACACTGCAGAAATAGCGACTTCGACTATAGACTGCAATATTTAAAATAGCCAGTCTGTATCAAGTTTCTGTGTCTTGAACTAGTCATGGAGGAGAAAAGCAATGTTGGTGCCAGTTCCATAGCTGATAAACAGCACATTTCGGGGACAAACCGCCAGAGCTGGCCGGTGTATGTTAAAAGGTAATCTGTCAAACAGATTATTAATTTGCTGGAAATGAGATGCAGATAGACTAACTTATACAAGCTGCACACGACAACATTTGTGCCTTCTGCAGTATGTTTATGAGGCTGCTGCTGCCCAGCAATAAACATGTTGCAACTTGCCACCTTACAGAAGCTGCACTCTGTGTATGGCCACCATATAGCAGCAGCTCTGGTAATTCAGGAGTTCAGCAATGAATGCCGTTTGCCGTATTCATTGCCAAAAAGGCTTGTTTTCTCTCCGAGCTGCTGCTGTTCTTTCTCTTGCGCTGTGAGTAGACGGACAGCTATGCCAGTCCAGTCTAGCTCCTCTCGCTTGGAGCGCACCCTGTCCAGTCAATGCTGCACGGTAGATTATTCAGACAAGTAAACAGTGCACTCCTATCAGCTGCAATTGTGATTGCAGCAAATAGCAATGAAATCCCATACTACAGCCAGAAATTACACTTTCTGAACCAAAAGATACTGCCCACCCTACTTGAAACAGTTCCGCTTAATTGGGATTGCAGCTGGCCTTGAGACAAAAGTCTCACAGCAGTTCAACCAGTTTTATCAAGCATCAATACCTTTTCTGCTAAAATTCCCTTGTCCTACGTTCATACCAACTACGCAGTTTGTTACATTATGTATACAAACATTTATTGCGCAGTATAGCTTTGCCTAATATTTGGAGTCTTAGGTTAGTTACCGATACTTTACGTCAGGTAACAATTTTGTTATCCCATACAGTTCTACTTACCCATTGCTATGGTGCGTTCTTGAAGTCAACTGTGCTGAACTAGACTTTTTGCCTGACTTGACTGGGTGTTATTTGCATCGCCATCCTGTTGTGTATCTTTTGGAAAGGAAGGCAAAAATGCTATATCAGGAAAGATAAAAGCGGTAATAGGTTACTGTTATTAGCGAGAACATTCAAATATAATAAGTCTTTGGGGGTTTTTTCTGTTGTGTTACTGTATTTGTTAACAGGACCAAATTAGGTGGGAGAACATTGCTCTCATCACATTCAAGCGATTTAGCAAGGCACTGGCTTGCAGAATGTTACTTCAGAACAATCTTTCATACGGAAGCAGCTATAAACTGAAATGATTTGCACCTTTCTTTTTTCTGTCAAGTCTGTGACTATTTGACACAACAAAAAACTAAAATGATGTGTGAAGAAGCATAGAATTGCTGTTTGGTATCTGGAAAGGATATGGGGCTTGGGGGTTTCTGTTTTAAGACAACAGTTAGGAAAAAATCAATTCCCACTTAGAAAATGTTGTACCTAATATTATAGTAGCAGTACTAGGTAATTATAGCCTGATGATTAAAACAATGTTCACTTTGTCCCTCTGATTCTTAAAATGGTTCCTAGTAAAAACAACATGCTGAAAATAAGGTGACAGCAAGCACATGCTGAAGAAGAAAGAAAATAACTGAGCCGAAACAGTCATAAGTGGTCGTCATAAGTGGGCCTGATATCCTGAGGCTCTCAAGTACATCCAAGATCTTCAGATGACTAAGATTTGCTAATATCCTAGTAAGAACTTGGAATTTTAGAATCAGAGAATCACAGAATGATCTGGCTTGGCCCTTTAAAGATCATCTAGTTCCAACCCCCCTGCTGTGGGCAGGGACAACTTCCACTAGATGAGGTTGCTCAATTATATAAAATAAGAGCTTTGCCTTTCTTCCACATATGCATTAATTTCCCCAAAATATTTTAATAGGAACAATTAGCGTAAAATACAGAATCACAGAATGGCAAGGGTTGGAAGGGACCTCGGGAGATCATCTAGTCCAACCCCCCTGCTAAAGCAGGCTCACCCAGAGCAGGTTGCACAGGACTTTGTCCAGGCGGGCTTTGAATGTCTCCAGAGAAGGAGACTCCACACCCCCCCTGGGCAGCCTGTTCCAGTGCTCTGTCACCCTCAAAGCAAAGAAATTCTTCCTCATAGTCAACTGAAACCTCTTATGTTTCAGTTTGTACCCACTGCCCCTTGTCCTGTCACTGGGCACCACTGAGAAGAGTCTAGCTCCATCCTCGTGACATCCACCCTTGCCTTTTATAACTAGTATAACTATACTGAAAGTGACTGCAAAACTTACATATTTATTTGCTGTTCAATAACAGGATATTCAAATAAGACCAACTTCAAATCAAATACTGAATAGAAGAAACTTCACCAGGCTGTTGAATACATGTAAATTTCAGCTTATTTTGGACAATGATGTAAATAGAAAGGGGGCATTGTCAAGTCATACATGGTCAACTTCAATTATTGCTTGAAATAGCATTATCTAACCTAATGCTGTGAATTCCACAACAGGATTGCCGAAAACGATGACATCGATATGCTAGGAAGGATAACTGACTGTCTTCCCATGTACATAGCCAAGGGGGTGGCTATGGCTGCTTTCTACTTGGCGAGATGCCTCCAGCTTGGCCTGGGTGTACAGCAAGACCAAGCTGCCGCTAAAAAATACTATACTAAGGTAAGTTGGGAAAGTCTTACAGACTAATTTATCTCTCATTAAATTGAGTGATACTGTGGATTTCAGTCTTTAATCTTGCTGTTCGGTTAAAGACGCCAACGTTATGTAAAAAAAAAAAATATCTGTGCAAGAAAATGAAGCATGGTAAAAGTATATTGAAAACTACTAAAAGTAAGTCTTGAAAGGATACCGTCTGCCCACTTGCTTAAGAAAACAATGCATTCTGCCAAACAAACAATCTGTAACAATCACTACAGCAAAGAGCTTGGTAACCTGCAAGATATACGAGCTAAACAATTTGAATAACTTTATCCCCAAATGATTTGCTGTCATTCTCTCAAACAGAAAAAATCATAATTTTTCCTCTACTTTAGATTCTCTATTACAACCTTCATTAATGATACTTAAATCAGTCATAACTGGTCGCCATGCTTATTTTTATGTTTACATCTTTAGCGATAGCTGAGGATCTACTGTTACTGATACACAGGGGAAAAAAATAGGTCACATTTTTTGAAAGTTCTAAAGTTGGAAGGAAGATTTATTGCTTGAGGAAAAAGATCAATGATGGCTTCTAGAAGATGAATCTGCTGAATAGTGCCAGTGATGCCTAAAGGTACAGTCAAGACAAGATGATTATGCCGATCGAAGGGAGTATAGCAAGATTGGAGCTGTGCTTCAGAGACACACTATGATTTCTACGCATGCAGAGACCGTTTCTTTCTGCAAGTAGAATACTCTGACGTCCAGTTTAGTGCAATCCAAATAAATTAGAGAGTTATGTAAATGCTAAATTATCAAATAACAATTTTTGTGGCTCCTTACTCAGGGAAGCCACTGATACGAGAGGCCTAGCAGAGCAATTCAGTCCTCTGAATACATACATCTTAAACATTTTGTTCTCCTGCTCTGAAAAGTGTAGAGAGATGATGATGATGAGAAGGAATGTAAGCTGAGGTGTTACAAACACTGTAGCCAGTAGTCCTGGGTAAGTCTTCAGGCATGGAAGAGGCCCATCAGGATTAAACTGCTGCATGGCTCTCTGTGAGTAGAGCCCTTCCCACTGTCTTCCATCAGGTCTAGCGTAACCACCACAACTGACAGAAAATTACAGCTTTCACTCATCATTCACTAGCTATACATCTGAGACTGATCTAGGAATGTCACTAGCTTTTTAGTATGAGAAGAGATGATTTCTATTGACTGGTGCCATGCATCTCTACATCAACAACAAAAGAGAAGGAAAAGAAAATAAACAAGGAAGCTACCTGAAGCAGAAACTTGAGAACAAGTAGAAGACAAGAGTTGTGGGTGTGTGTATTTTCTTTTGTACCTGGAAAAGAATTCTCCTGTTAATTGTACAATTATACCCACTTACAATTAAGATCCCATTTGCTTTTTTTAATTAACTGCTCAGCTGCAGTTTTGGCCTACCATTCTTAGACCCAGTCAGTTTTGAAAGAGGCAAGAAAGAGAAGATGGGCCTCCCAGAGGGTGCTGAAGTAGGTGATGGAAATGAATGAAACTGGTCTGTAAGCAGATTTGTGTTTCTGACTATGGTGCCAGCACATGCCATTCCAACAAACAGAATAAAAAAATAGAACCAAGCCTAACACTACAGTCAAGTATGCTCCTTTTAAATACTGGATTTTTCTTATGTGGCATCAGAAACGGGGATTTAAAGCTGAATATATTACCTCTTTAATATTTTAACAAGTTGATTATCTCAGATAATGCCAACAAAACTTAAAGACCTTAATAATGTTATATTGACAATATACAACTTTATTTTAGCTATAAACTAGAACTCCCTTCTCTTTGTTTTCAAAGGCATGCCTTCTGGATCCTGCTGTTGCTTCTGACCTTGAACTGGCAGCTAATCTTGGGAGAATTTAGTGTTTCCTTTAACTGTGACTGGTATATAAATGTAAATGGTTGTTTCCTTTGCTGCATTTTTAGTATTTAAACACTAAGGTTTAATATTCTGAAAAGCTTAAACCCAAACTTGTCTAGTTTTCACATACAACCCATTCACAGGTCACGACCATTTAAAAATCTTACCTTTGTTAGTGGTGTGTGTACTTTCTTTCATACGCTTTTCTAATGCATCTAGATCTCCTTACGTGTCTTAGCACATTTTACTCCCAGACCACAGAGATTCAAAGTTGGAAATTGGCCTGTATGACACTAAGCTTTACAGTTCAAACTGTGTCAACTTCTAGAACTAGAAAATACAACTTACAGAACTGTGGGAAAGAACCCATTAGTGCGAAAACATTCAGTATACAGTCCTCCGCACAAGACCCATTCTCCTTGATCCTTCTTACTGCATTTACACTACCTCTGTTTGTATTAGAAATAGTTGAAAACCTTTTGGCTAGGAGCATGTATGCCTGAGCAATCTTACGCCGACTCTTTTTGATAAAAGATACTTTGATTAACCACTAGTAAATCTTACTGATCGCTATGGTAAGCTTGTGCATTTCTAAATACCTATTTACTTGTAAAATTTTCTGTGTGCAGAATTTGGCTCGCTTCTCAGGACTGTGCCGTGACTTGAAAACTTTTTTGAAACAGAAGGCCAGATGTTACTAAAAACTCTGATTTAAAATATTGCATACAGCTTTTATGTACCTTACAATATAGCCAGTCTTAACTGCAAGTAGTTTTTCTACAAGCACAACTGTATTGAATGTAAAAGAAAGTAATGAGTGTCACCTAGGGATTTTTGATGATGTTTAATTATTTAGATGTGCATTAAGACCATATTTACATATTTTTACATAAATTAAAAAAAAAAACACTGAAGACATCGTTTTCTTTCCTTGTATAAAATAAGGGAAAGATTTGAAGGTTGTTTGAAATTGGGGTATTTGAATAAAACAGCCCTGAGTAGTATCAGGGAAGTTATTAGAATGGTTTAATTAATTGTCTACTTAATCATTCATAGAAGCAATTCATAAGCACTAATCTCTGAACTAACATTTAACACAGGCATTTTGTTAGCACATACCAGTTTACAATACATATTTTCAACACAGACTTCAAAGTAACGTAAATATTCCTTACCAAACTAGTGCTGTCAAACTCACCAGTTGTCAGTACAGCCTCATTATCAAGTACTGCAATCCAGCTGTGTTATTTATTGCTTACAAATGCTTCAAACTACGGGAAATCTTTGGTAAAAACAAAATTGATAAAATTTACACAACAGCTTTACATGTAGTATTGCACAACAAGGCTTTTTCAATACACAAGAAAAAATGAATGCTCAAATCCTCAGTGAGGAGATTAGAACTGTACAACATTCATTAGTTTACCACTATAAGCAAAATTTCTTTTCATAAATGTTTAAAATATTTTCTGGTTTCTTTCAGCTTATATGAACATTTATTTTCCAATCTATATTTGAAACAGAAGGGTAGTCAAATAGAACCATTTAAATAAAAATTGGCAACTATACAGCATTGTTTTGTCTACCCTACTACAGCATCAGATCTTTTCAAGTCTGTTTACTTCACAAAAAACTCAAGAGGAAAGAAAAACTCTAAAAAGAATCATAGTCCTCAGCCCTCTATGGAAAAGAGGAAATAAGTTTCATGTCTATTACTGGACATAGACATTTCTCTAGTGGTCCAATTGTGCAGATTCAAACCTAAGTGGCATTAAGCTGCTCTAAATGAGCTCTTAGCTCAGGACACAGTTCAGTTAGCAGCAGTTCCAGCAAAACCTGAAAAACAGAAGAGAGTCAAGATGAGCGCAGGTGCCAAATGAGAATTTCTTTTTCCTTTCTGACACAGCATCACAGGTAACAGAAGCATGTAGGGTCATTCTGCTCATCATTCGTGCAACTACTTTTCTTTCATCCTAAAGTTAGCATGCACTCTGCAGGTCATATGGGAAATGTCTTAAGGCTGAAAGAAAGCAAGTACCACGGGCAGCTGCTTTCAGAGGGGGATTCCCCACCCTGTATAAACTGGTGCTGTTCCGTCAAAGCCGCAGTAGCTCTGTCAGCAAGCACCAGGCAGGCACCTCCCAAGCAGGCTGCGTCCGCTCCTGTGCTGAGGGCTGCGTCAGGCAACTGGCTGCCAAAGGAAAGGAGGCAGAAGAGGCTGCCCGAGGGCAAAGGGATCGTACTTGGATGCAGCTGTGTGCTCCGACCGGTCCCAACCCACAGCACAGGAGTGGGACTTCTGGAGGGCTGTCGTGTCCTAACTGTGAGCCAGCCCTGGAGCTCTCCTAGGATTCTTCAAGATATATTTCGTTTTCGCAGCTATATGAAGAAATTAGTTTGCACCTTATGGAGTCAGGCAAGTTGGATGTGGTAGGGGATCTCTTTTAGACAACAGTAACACTGTTTTTAAACTTAAACAGCTTTTTTTGTTATTCAAAATTAGTCAAATGATGGAACCAAGTACATTTTTTTCTGACTTATTTTAATAACAAAAAAATGACTTGCACACGGAACAACAGTCCAACATAAATCTCTGCCAAAACACCCCCCCCAGGCTTTAATACTGAGTGAGCAGAGCTCAGCAATTAACAGGATTATAAAGTTAAAAGGCTACTTTTCTGGTTACTCACATAGAGCAGATGCTTGTTAGCCTTTCTTTCTTGCAACGCATTGAACACTTTCACTACGCCGTGACGGGCATTTTGTTGTCCAACAAGACTCTGCAGAGTATCTGCAACAAACGTTACTTCAGCTTATATTGTTTCACCCCCACTAGGCAAATCCTCCGGCTGACACTGCTACCCATCAAGGCGGGGGGAAACAAAAGCTCTGCGCTTCACCGCCCTTGGTTACACGACACATAGCCCCCACTCACCAACCTTTTAAAAACACACAGGTAACTTAAGTCGCGGGTTGAAGAGACACCCTTACTCTCAAGTTACCCAAGTTAAATAATAGTGTATGCATCTCCGTGACAACGTATTAAGTGTTTTAACATGATATATAGTACGCCTTTAAGGTAGTTCACCTCGCAGAGTCAAGTCTAATCTCACACATTATTAAACCGGTCACTTAAATACACCTTCAGCCACAAGGACAGAATCCCTACAACAGCTGAAACAGATTTAGCGCTTTAATTGCCTCTCAATCTTCACAGAAAATACTTCCCACAAGTAAGCAGATAAGAGAATTCTAAGCCAATTATTTACATTTTGGCATTAATTTAAGGTGCACACAGCTATGTCCTGACATATCCCTCCAAACGCACAAACAGAACCACAAACCACCTACGGAAGGCTGTTCTGGGTAAGCAGGTGAGTATGCAACAGAGGGAGAGTAAATGGAGGGTTGTTTACACACCAAATGGCAAATATTTTGCATGCATACCTGCTGCTGTTTTTGCAGTAAAAGTTTATTAAACAACCAAATGCAGGGGGGTATATGAGGTATCTCAGTGAAGCCATAGAATAGCTCATTAAAGTACATTCTGTTCAGATGGAGGGGAGATAAAAAGCATTCATGCTATGATTAGGTGCATTTCCAAGGGCTAAAGGGAATGAATTTCGGTGCTTCCCCGTCAGGTGCCTTTGGGTTTATGTGATCTCTGAAGAGTCAGAATTAGAAAACTGGACTCCCTGTCCTGTATATGGGATGGAGCACCTCGGAACGGCACCCCAGAAATGGGCACACTGAAGAGGAAGCTGCCTGGGTTTGGGAGATAAGGGCAGGCGAAGGAAAGCACCGGGAACCTGACTCCATCCAGGGTGCTTCTGTCCAGGCTGCGGGTCCCTCTATCATTCAGTGCCATGAAACCCCTTACCAGAAACAGACAGCAACACACAACACTGACAGCGCGGGTAGAGCTCCCTCTTCCATTTTGAAACATAAAAGGAAGTAGTAATTGGGGCAGTGCCACGCTCCCCATTTGTCAAGTAGTTCCAGGTAGCAGAACCACCTGGTATTTGCTGAGAGAACCGGCAGAGTCCTGACTTCACTTAGGTTCCCTGATGAATATTATATACGGACAGAAGTACAGCGATACTGGATTTTGCATCCACCAATAACACCTGAATCCATGCCCTTGAACCAGACAAAGAGGACAGGCAAAGAGTAAGGCCAAAATTATCCTTATTTATGCCAATAACCATAATTTACAACTCCACAGGAAAAATGTAAAATGCGGCAGAACAGTATTTGATTAACCAGTTTCCTTACTAGTTATTAAATCTGTGATTAAGCAGAATGAAAGTGATCTCACCTGGAATGTTTTCAAGTAGTTTTTGCTGTGCTCTCTGTTTTGTCTCTTGCTTTTGTTCGTTGGTCTTGGCTCTCGGAGGTGGTGCTAACTTTCCATTTGGCCAAAAAGCATCTCGAAACACACCAATGTAGTAAACAAGCATTGGTTCACTGAACATCCAGTGTACAGTGTCACGGATTTGCCTGTAAAGAAGTGTAGAAGGGAGCACATCAGAGCTGGTCTTTCATGTTTTATGCAGGTTTATTCTTTTTACTCCTGAAGGTAGTGGAAGCGATGCTCGTTTTCATGTAATTATCCCAATTTATCTGAGCCGATTTCACCAGCATTACAGCAAATCATATTCAGCTCTGGGTGCTCTAGGATGTAGGTCACTCCAGATACATGACTGAGACATGGAGAAGGCTACATTGCAATGTAATCCACAAACATACATTACAAATTACAAGCACTACACTGAAACGTGTATGTATTTCAAGGATGGGCAGTACAAAGGCTCCACTGGGTAAAGACAGAAAAATCAGCTAACTGTAGCGAATCCAAACTAATTGCATGCACAGATGTGCCTGGTGAGATAAAAAGATGAAATTTTGATAAAAGCACAG